TTTTAATTGTTATTTTATAAATTTATAAATTTTTATTTAAATTTTATATCTAAAAAAATCTAAACTAAATTAAATTTATTAAAAATAAATAAAAAGAGTAATTTTTTTACCAATTAAAATAAATAAAATCTGCATTTTTTAAATAATTTACGTAATCATATAATCAAACAAGGAAAAGAACAATCTGTTTTAAAAAGTGTTAACGAATTTTTTCCATATTTTACGGAAAGATCAATCAATAATACCGCAGCCAGTACGAGGATTATGCCGCAACGCACTAGTCGTTTCCTGGTTACCACCCAGATTAAGTTTCCTAATTTCATTCCGCAAAGCAACTAGAAACCCCATCACATATCACATTTGAAATAAAAAAAGCATGAATATATATATATAAAAGAAAAAGAGGACTCCTTTTTCTCCAGTCTTTTAAGTTCAATGAATTGCGATCGTGGCTTTTGGTAGCGAAGTGGTTGTAGCTAGCACTCATTGTGATCTTGACATCTACTCTATATTCATCAACATGTACAAATTAAAGCTTTCATGTAAATAAAGAGAAAGGAAGCTGTGCATATTATGCATTTCTTTCCATACTTGAGTTTACTTTAAGCTACAATTTTAACAAAAGAAAAGCTAATAATGTAAGTATCTCAAAGATAATTTTCTTCGATTAAAAATAAGAGAACTTGAGTTTGAATTACATAATATATGAATGAAGTGAAATAAAAGATAAGAGATAATTATTTTTTATTATATAATCAAGATAAAAAAAGAAAAAGAAAAATTGCCATGTTAAAATCTAACATTATTACTATTAAGCTTTGCCTCTACTGAAGAAAATAAAAGTTTAGTCTGATTTTTCTATGAGAAGAACCCAGAACTATGGGCATACAAAAGTTATAAGATTTAAAGAAAAAAGGAGGAAGAAAAGAATATTATTTTGCCTGGGAGGTGCAGCGTGATGGAATGTAAGTTCCATTCCGATGAAAACGAAGCTGACAATCCAAGTTACATGTGAACTTAACTGACCCCAGGAGGCCAACTCTCCATCGTGCTCTAGTGCTTCCCTTGAGATTGAAAGCAATCTGATCCCGCTTCAACGACCCGTCCACCCAATCCTCCGTCTCGGGGTCCAATATCACCGGCGTCGATTGAGCCACATAGTTAAAATCCACGGAGCTGTTCTTTCTCACGTCGAAAGGGTCTGCTATCTGGAGATATGCTATGTCCATTTCATCCAAGCTGAAGATGAAGTGCCAATTATAGAACCTCGCGTGCGCCTTCTTGTTTCCGTTGTGTGCGCGCATGACGATCGTGGACTGAATCACTAACACTCCGGCGGAATCGAACCTAAAGGTGTCGAGGCTGGCGCCTACCACGCTAACGTCGGGAATTCTCGGGTGGATGACAAGGTAGCCTATGAAGGTGACGACGCCGGCAATGATGACACAGGTGGTTATGATGGTGCAGAGGACGGCAGCAACCCAGACTAGGAAGTGGGTTCGACGTTCGGGGTGCATTGGGGGCAAGAGATATGGTGCCCAGCAAGTGACAACATTCGACCAAAGGATTCGATGCTTTTGTTTTTGTAAGGGGATGGAGAAAAAAGGGAGGTTGGGTTTTAGGCTTATGAAGATTGGCAAGGTATAGAGTTAGCTCTAATTGGTGGGGAGGGTTTTGGTATCTTCCTTTCCTGGACTCAAAGCATTAGCATTTCAGGGGAAATATATAAATCTTGCATAGAAACAAGGAATATGTGTCCACTTTAGACTTTTTAGAAGGATAAATACCAAACTTGCTTTGCTAACCTGTTTCCTATTACACAAATAGGACACAAGCCTAACATATCTTTGAGAAACCAAAACTTCTCCATCTAAATATAGAAAGGGATGCCATAAAGCAGATCCCCATCGACAAGCTTCAAAGATGAAATAACAACACAGATACGCAGTTTAATTGCATGCTTTTTTCAGTTAAACAACTCCATTTTCTTAATCATACAGGCATTAACAATTACAAGAGAAAAGCAAACAAGTCCATAGGGGTAGAAACTAGAAAGAGTAGACCAAGCAAGAAGAAGCAAAGGCAGCAATCATGGAATTTGAATAAACAAAAGCAGCATGAATCTATTCTTCTAATCCTTTCACATATTCTAAATTTGAGCCATCGTGACTTGGTTCAAATAAGTGTTCGTAACAAACACAAATCCTTTTCATGGGCTCATTGCTATTACTTTAAATAGCAGAAGACATAGATCACGTAACAAAAAAAAAAAAAACACACATATTCTCATCACTTCTGTATCATGCTTAGATGGAATCTAGTAGTAACTTAAAATACACAATGAAAGCAGAATTAGCCTGCCCTACTTCAGATTCCATACGGAAAAACCTTTCTATTATCTCTAAAACCAGTGAAGCAACATTTATGCTGGTTATAAACCAAGAAAGAAAAGAATTTTTCATTGTTTGTTAATAGTGATCAGCTGATATAATGGACATACGCTTTCATGCACAGTAATAATTACCTCCTCAATAGCCTCTCCATGGAATTGAACATTGGTCAACAAGGTAGGGAGCAACACCCCTTGCCAACTAATTGCACCAGCCCTTGGTCAAGAATTTCTTGTTGTTGCTTGCTAGTCCGCTTTTATAATGCAATTGATTGTCACCAAAAAAATAATAGTAAAAAAGATTACACAATTGATTACCTCTAACTCAATATTTCGAATGTTAAACATCTAGGCTGCTATGATGGTAATAAAGGTTTGAAGTTTGAACCATTATTGAGAGAATGGACCCAGTTTAACAAAATATCCCCACCCCACATGAAAATTAAGACCTTGAGATGAAATGATATTTTCAGTCCCTAAGGAGGAAGGATACACTGACTGTAATTTCAATAAACAAAAACATTTACAAAAAGAAAAAGAAAAAGAAAAAGAAAAGAGTAGAGATTTTGGTTACATGGGATGTGCTGAAACTGCAAATTTGGAAGAGACAGAACACAATCTTTCTCAAAATTTCCTTCAAACAGAAAGCGTAAAAGCCTGATATCATAGCATGACAGAAAATGACAGCCCAAATTCACACCACCATTCATGGAATTAGCATATTCATCTTGTAGATTACGGTCACATGAAGTAAAAATCTCGCAAGATTCAGAGCCAGAAGCAACAAACTTTTCCCTCCAAAGCCAATTTCAAGAAAGCAGGCACAAACAGATGCAAGGTGCTGCAGAGATGATTCTCAAACAAACATGAGAAAGGAACTAACAGGCTACAATGAAAAACAAAACTAAATAGAGAAACAAAAAGGATAAGATAGCCACAACAGTAAGATGATCAGAATGCAGAAGCATCCACAAAAGCAGAAATTCTTCTTTAAATGAAGAAAAAGAAGGGCAATCAGGAAATGGCAGAAACAATGTTATCAACTATTGTTTGCAATAGATTTTTAATGAGTCACCAAACAATAGCAAAAAGGTAACTGTAAAACCTCTATAGACAAGATAAGAAGCTAACACTGTTAGACCTTGGCAGCTTTCCATCTCTTTGAAAGACTATCATACTTGTCTCTAAAACTTCTGCCCTCCTTATAAAAAGAATTCTTCAATTTTTCCATTGTGGATTCATTTATACTGATTCGCCTATCAAGCATGTCTACAGCAAACCTCCTAACCTCTGACAGCCTACGCAAGTTACACATTCCAACAAGTAACGCATTAGCACTCACCTCAAGAGGGAATACATGATTCTCAACCATGTAATTCCATATCTCAATCGCCATTTCTGGGTCATCATTGTCCAACAACATTGCAATGGCTGCAGCACAATTAGAATGTGTTGGAGGATATTCATTCTTTATCATCTCAACAAAGAATCTTCCCACCTCATTAACCCTCTTGTTCCGCACCAAGCATTGAAAAATCATGTTATAAGTCAAAGAATCAGGAAATGCTCCATGGAACACCATCTCATCAAAGATCCGAAATGCATTACACAAATCATTGTTGTCACACAACAAACCAATCATTGCATTGTACATGATCAAATTAGGCAACAGCCCACCACTGACCATTATATCCCACAGGGGGATAATGTGGGTAGAATCATTTCGTTTAAGTAGAATATCAAGAGCAGTAGAAAAGAATTTCAAACCTGGCAAGCAGTTATGCCCCTTCATCACCTTCAAGAACTTGAGAGTCTCATCTGCTTGGTTCCCACGAACAAGAGTGCTCAAAAACGCGTCGTAAGCTGACATATTTGCTGGACTCCACCCAACTTTCACCACCATCTCGCCAAAGGTAGTCTTAGCCTTCGCCACATTGCCTTCCTTTTCCCACCCTTCCAACAGAATCGCAAAGGTGTCTCCATCTGGTGGGATCTTCATCTTGATCTTGTCAAAAAAATCAACTGCAAACATCATCTGATTGTCTTCACGGCAAATTGCACTAAGAAGTGAATTCACCGCAACCACATCTTGTTGGACACCATATTTGTCCATGACACTAAAACTCATCACAGCCTCATCAAACCTATAGGCAACACAGTAGCTACCAAAAACAGAAACAAATGCTGCCATTGAAAGAATACCATCCTGCTTCATGGTGCGTATAGCATCCCACATTGACTCAAAAAGTTGGTTCTTTCCAAGCAAATCCACCATGAGATTCCACGCATAAGCAGACTGCTTCACGGACTGACCTGCCCAGCGGAAGAACTTGACTGCAGAGGAGGGCTGATTGTAGGAAAACTTGAGAACTTCTTGGACAAGCTCGGAGGTGGATTGGATTCCCGTGGAGGCAAGCGCAGACTCAATGCCAAGGGGAGAAGCTCGAGTTAAGACGTCACACAAGATTCGGGCTTCCGGGGAAATCTCCGGCGCATCAAGATGCGTGGGAAATCGCTGGGGTTTAAGGTTGTTGGGGATTTGGCGCAGCGGGTTTCCGGGCTTTATAAGGGTTTCCGCCATTAGATTTTGGGTAACAAAACCAGGACAGTTCAGCTAGATAAACCCTAACAAGCTCAAATTAGAACTTAAAAACAAAAGAAAAAAAACCCAAACATATGATCCAATCAATCAGAACTGAAAACTTTCTCAGTAATCGTCAGAGAGAATTTCGAAAATGGGTGTCAGGGATAAGAAGAAAAATCTTACATAATTTCGAAATTCAAAGAAATTAGGTAGAAATTAAGGGTTGAAAATATATGAAGAATAGCGGTAGTTGCAGGGAGCAGCTGAAAGCTTCAATTTTCCGGTGATCATCTTCCCAACGCCAGTGAGACTGCAAGCGGAAAAGGGGAGGGAAGAACCAAGCTTAGTTTTTCTGATACATTCGGGTCAACCCGATTAGTTCTTGTGTGTCTGTATCTTTGTAGGCCTGGTGAGCTGAAAATTGTTGGACTTGATTTTTTGGGCCTCCGTATGTTTTTGTGAATTTTATCCAAGCCCGAGAATTTAAGATCCGCATGCACTGGGCGGGTGCGGGCGTTTAACCAGCTTTGTTCGTTATACACGTTAGCCGTAGGACCGTAGGGGCTCGGTCATGCACTCTTAACAAATTAATTGAAAATATTATATCAATAATCTGTTAATTACTCAATTTATTTTAAATAAAATTTTGAATTTAATTCTTATAAATAAAAAAATTAAAAGTTTTTTTTTATAGAGTCTAAGTTTATTCAACTTTTAAATTAGTTAAAAATTAATATAATTTTTAAATATCGAGATAATATTATAAATTTAAAATATAATATATTGTGAGGTTAACGTACATTAGTTTCGATTAAAAAATAATTTTAATTTATATTTAAAAAATAATATTTTAATATAAAATTAAAAAATTAAATCGATTTTTTAATTTAAATATTAATACTTTATAATATAAATTTTAAATTTTAAATTAAATCTTAATTAAATAAATCGATACAATTTAATATTAAAATTTTAATTTTTT